GAAACACCCCTCAAATGAATTTGAACATAGATCTTTGAAAATGAGTTTGAGGCCGATCTGATGGTAAACAGAAAACTTTCATACAACCGTTTTCCGCCAATTTACCACTTTTGCGGGTGGAATTTCCTAAATCGCTGAAATATATATTTGTTAAGTTCTTATGTAGAGCTTTAAAAATAAGTTTGAAATAAAGTTTGGAATTTCCTAAAAGTGTGAAGCACCCCTCAAATGATTTTGAACAAAGATCTTTGAAAATAAGTTGAGGCCGATCGGATGGTAAACAAAAAAGTTACATACAAACGTTTTTCGCGATTTTTCCACACTTGCGGGTGGAATTTCCCGAAACCCCGTCTTAACGTGCACCTTCATCACATAAGGTAACTATATTGAAAATTTCAGCTTCCTAGCTCTTACGGTTTGGGCTGTGCGTTGATCACCAATCAGTCAGTCAGTCAGTCAGTCAGGACAAACAGTTTTATATATAGAGATAAGCTATAAGGCTGTGGCTCAGAAATATTTTTCGATTCGCCTCGATCAACAACTAACGAACAAGTGGGCGAGAAAAAGGAGAAAATGCATGTTTATAGTAGCTGCGGAAAGTGCGAGAGAGGCTTGTTTCCAACGAACAGCTGTTTCACTAAACTAAGTGTACGACCGCTTTTTATGCTTGTATGAATATTAGGTTATTTTATTTTGATGCGACTGCTGCAGAATCCAAAAATAATTATTATCGTTTTTTATCTTATTAGAAAGACCTACTAATTGCATATTGCAGGGGTCAGAAGATATTCTTATCTAGTCGTAATTACTGTTATATAGTGATATTCGTTCACTACCTGGTAGTCTTTATTTCCCAAAGGGTCAATGTCAACGAACTACTAGTGACCCAAAGTTCATATACGGATTAGTAATCGAAAAAACGTTTGTTGTATACGCGACTTAGTTATCCCTTACCGATCTTAAGTTATTTCGACGTATCCTACCGAGTGCGCAAATTAAGTTTTACATGGTTAGAAACTTTAAAAAAATATAATATATTCTTTATTGTCACTAAATATGAATTGGTTATCTATCTGTTGCGGTCGCTTAGCAAACTACGTTTTGAGAGAGCTTGAGACCAAATAACGGAATTTACATGAATAGAATATTCAACTTGACGGCTTGGATGCGCCATATAATTTTGGGCCTCTAAGGTTTATTGTTACAAATTTCAGTTGGTGTGTATCGTATTACAATATTTACGTGGTGTGCTTAGTTGCTAGGTCTAATGTATAAGGGCTTGGATATTAGTGCTGTGGACATATGCTATATTTGAATATATGACTGTATGTGCAAGTATAGTATGTGTTGTGGGTGTGGTACATATGACACTTCCCCATCCCTAAGAAACTAGCGTGTCCTCCGTCGGATATTTTCGGATATAATGGGTGATTGCTAATTATTATATTATCGGTTTCATTTAATTTGCTATTGCCTACAATATTTTCATGTAGTTGTATATTTATTGGTTCTTCTATTTCCGATTTTTTGTTTGTTTCTTATACTTTACAATTATTCTTTGGGGTAATGCTTTGAACTTATAGATAATATACAATATTATGTGCACTTACGATTATGCAAAGTGTTGTTACGGTTAGAATTTGAAAAGTGTTGCACATTTTAGTGTGCTCTTTTACAATTTCTTTGGCTTGAATGTATGATAGTGGTTCTAATTTGGTTACATTATTGCTCAAATAAATTGTTTGTGTATAATCCTACATTGTGCTTGTGATTATTATTTCATCTAATTGAATTGAACAGTTTGACGCTTTTATAAGGTTGTTACCTTCTATTAGCATTTCTCTATTGATACAATGGTTCTAATTTGGTTACATTATTGCTCAAATAAATTGTTTGTGTATAATCCTACATTGTGCTTGTGATTATTATTTCATCTAATTGAATTGAACAGTTTGACGCTTTTATAAGGTTGTTACCTTCTATTAGCATTTCTCTATTGATACAACCTTGTTTTAAAAGTGTTTTTGGTAGATTCCTTAAACCTAGTATCTATTTCAAAGTCAGGGTGTTTTACAGTTAGACTTGCTATTTTATTTAGTTTGTTTATTTGGGTGTTATCTGCGGGGCTCCGGCATATATGAAGATATCAGGTGGTGTTCTACCAGTTGTCTTATGTTTTGTTTTATGGCTGTAAGTATAGAATATTGTTTCAAATGTTGTTAGGTGTTCTCTGGGTCGGACTCGCTGTTAATTATTCTTAGTTTTTCGTTAACTGTTTTGTAAAAACTCTCTATGTCAGATATTCCATTCTTACAAGTGGTTATTGTTATTTGAGCATTCTCGGACTGTAACCATAATTGAAGTGTTGCAAATATGAGTGCTGAGTCTTTGTCGGCTTTAATTTCGGTTGGTTTTCCCATTAGATTGAAATTTTGGAGGATTGCTCGTTTTCTTTCGAGCCAATCTTTGCTATTCATTTCTATTAATGCAGCATATTTGGAATAAATGTGTAAAGAAGATAGAAATTGTCAATTGTCAATGATATAAAAATCCATGACGTATTTTTCTCTATTGATAAGTGTTTCCGGAGTGGTTTGAAATGAGTTTAGTATCTCTATGTTCAGTTTTAGCTATGTTGCATATTTCGCATTAATTTATGATGTTTTGTTTAAGTTTTTGATGATCGCGTTAATAATATTTTTCTTTAAAAAGTGCTGTAACTTTTTCGATACCTGGATTCAATAAGTCTTTATGGGTTTTAAAGATAATTTCCTTGTAGTCTGCATAGGTTTGGTTATCAATCACTTGTTTTGTGGATTTCATTAGTTTTGTTAGGTTATTTGGTTTAATTATTTCAATATAAACGTTTTGAAAAACTATGAAATCGGCTTCACTTTTCAAACTACACTTTTCTTAGTGCATAAATATTCATTAAATATTCATTCATAGTTTGTGAACTTTGTTGGTTTTTATGAATTGTGGTGGTTTTCATTGTCTTCCTGTGCACTATGTATTATTGCTGCTAGGCTATTTGGGGTTTCGCCTAATAAATTTTTCCATATTTTGATTCGCGATAAGGCGTCTGCTATGTAAGTTTCTTTACCTGGAACATACTTCATATGGTAATCAAACTCAGCTTAATTTTCCATCTCTGTAGCTTCATATTGGGTTCTTTCATACTACTCAACCAAACCAGGGGTTTGGGATCACTAAATATCTCGAATTTCTTTCCAAAAAGATAGGACCTTAAGTATTTAGTGGCCCAGACAATAGCTAAAAGTTTCTTTTCTATTGCCGAATAGTTGACTTCCTGTTCATTTATTGTTCTGCTGGCATAACAGATTGGTTTATGATCTTGGGATAATTGTTTCTTGAAATTATGATATACTAGTACCGGATCGGACATGATAAGTAGCTTTAATTTTTCGAATGCTTTATGTACTGTTTATCTTTGGTGTTTATGACTGCACCTTTTTTCAATATTGCTGCCATTGGATCCGATATTTTTGCAAAATTTGGGATGAACTTTCGGTAAAAATAGCAAAGTTCTAAAAATTATTTGATTCCCTTCGCTGTTGAAGGTATTGGGTATTTTTGTATTGCCTCGATTTTGGCTGGGCTAGGTTTCATACATGTATCTAATTGTTGTTTTAGATTAGCCTCCCTTAGTTTTGTGAATAATTCCTCAATGACAATATATGTTCCTCCAAAGAAGTGGAGTATGCAATTTTGTCGTCCATATCCTTGTAGATCTTAGGAATTGAGTTTTCGTCCATTTGGATCTGACAAAAACCTTTCACGAGGTCAATGGTAGTGAAATACTGACATTTACCAAGTATGTCGAGTATATATCCATTGCTGGTATAGGGTATTTGTCATCAGCTGTTACTTCATTAAGGCTTCGATAGTCAATGAATATTCTAAATTTTTGTTTCCCGGATGCATTTTTCTTTTTGGGTATGATCCAAAGAGGCGAACAATAAGGTGATTTAGTTTTGCGTGATTTATATGTTTTTTTTGTAAAACGGGTCTTCGTGTTTGGTTTGGATGGATGTTTGGTGACATCGCTACCATCATCGAACTTCAAATATTGTTCCCTTTCTTCATCACCTATTCCATCGAGGACTTCTTGGGGACTGGAACACTACTTTCGAAGCTTGAAATTGCCACGCGACCATAGGATGCAGCTGAAATAACTATCAGGCGCAGTCACAAGGACACAGCGATATATTTTGCAAATGTCAACTGTCTAAGCAACAGGATAGTTGTGAAATCAGATCAGGACGTGGAACAATTTAGGTTGAATGATAGGTCCTGCCATCAGCATATCATTATGAGAATATCCAGATTCAGTTGTCGCAGAGCCATCAAACACAACACGCAACTTAATTTTGGTGCTGTCTTCCTTTAAGACGCGATTGTGTGGGAGGAAGTATTTACAACAGCCACTCAACTCTGGATTATCTTGCGACAGGTGATTCAGATCCAGAAACTCTTTGATGAATGCCGAGTACAGCTCCTTCAGATGCGAATGCCGACCCAATTTTCGCTGAAGACTGAGAAATCGACGAACCAGAACTTTTCTTTACCGTTACCACTACAGTGGCCAAGAGCACAACACCAGACTGAAGACCTTGGACAGCAAGAGGGGTATTGGAGTGAGCGTAAATTGAAGTAGCTGCGGTCAAAGCGGGCAATGTATGTGATGTTGTCGACGCTTTAGCATCTGGTGATGTAGCTAAGTGCAGTAGGGTATGATGTTTTCCCCCACAAGTACGACAATGACTTCTACTGCAAGACCGAGTTTGATGTCCCTTCCTTAGGCAGTTATAACATAGTGCCAGTTTCTTGACTTCCTTCCTATGGGATGACATGGCATGTTGCACGTTCTCCAGCCTTTGACAACGCCTTTCCAGAAATGTGAAGAACTCATCGGATGACGGGATTTTGTCAATGCCTGCGGCCTCCTCCCATTTGGTCTGATTCTGAGTGTCCAACTTTTAAAGCAGCGTCTGCACTATTATGCATCCTGAAATTCGCTCAAAACTGCCCAAGGTCTGCAACGCACGAATATGCGAATTGAAATTGTCCGAGAACTCAAGGAGTTTTGAAGCCGATTCCGAATCTACCCTCTTGAGCCCAAGAATCTCGTTGATGTTTGCCTGGAAAACAAGACTTTTATTACTAAATCTTCTCTTCAGAATATCCAGAGCCACACGATAATTGGCACCGGAAAACTCCAACGATCGAACCGAATCCAACGCAGAAAAACGTGAGCGGAGATGCTGCATCTGTTCAATATTCGACAGCTCGGTTTCCTTGTCGCCGACCGACCGAAACATCGCGATGAAATCCGAATATTCGGTGTAGCCACCGGAAAACGTAGCTAATTTGAGCTCGGGCAAGCGAGTTCGGTTGGTCACGATCACGGTTGGGGCTAACAACTCCTCATGATGAACTAAGATTGAATGGGACGGCACGTTAGATTGACTTCGCTGAATATTTACGCGAACGCGAGCTTCAATCATGGCTACCACCTCGACGAAATCATCGCGTAATTTGCTGCCAATTCATCAAAATTCAGGAAGTCATGCGCGGCATTAAAGGCAGACTTAGTTTGTTCAATTAAAAGAACACGTACTTCTAAGTCGGTGGCACAAGAGGTATTAATTTTCTCGTCAGATAAATACCTTTCAATACCCTAGTCTCGCTAGTCTCGCTAAATCGGAATACCAAAGCTGTATAGCTGAAGAACAACGCACACGAAAAATGCGAAGAGTGCAGCTGCCTATGTACAAGCGTATTTATTTAAGCTGAGCCGGCGAATGACCGCACAAAAGGGGGATCGCCAAAGTCAACTAGCGGCGTCTATGTATATGTGAATTTTGGGAGCTGTAAATTGTCAGCACACATAGGCGTTTTACAATTGCCTAATTATAAGAAGTCACAATACTTTTGTTGCACTTGAATAATACCTTTTTTTTTTTATTTTTAGTTTGGCAATATATTTAATTTGCTCTTATGCACTGCAATATTAAATCTCGCCAATGCCTCCAAATGTTGAGTCGCTTATGTTTTTTAGCAACTTTTTTGAAACCTTAGCCAAGAATTAAAGTCAATTTTGGCTTTTAACAACAATACGTTATAAAAAGTTTTTTTTTGTCAAATTTTATAAGTTACTAGCGGGTATAGACCGTCCTTGCCCGTGTCACGTATGTTATAAAATCAATGTGTTCAAAAAGCTCTGAAAATGATTTTGAAACTGATCGGACGGGAATCAAACAACTTTCATGCAAATCGGACAAACTTAAAATTCACCAAAAAAATCTTTGAAATGCATTTTCCACCGAAGGAGTTTAGATTTTGCGAAAAATGTGAAACACGTCTCAAATGATTTTTCTTATAGCTCTTTTTCGATCCCGGTTTGCACCAAGGAGGGATGGATTTTTCAAAAAGTGTGAAACACCCCTCAAATGAATTTGAACATAGATCTTTGAAAATGAGTTTGAGGCCGATCGGATGGTAAACAGAAAACTTTCATACAACCGTTTTCCGCCAATTTACCACTTTTGCGGGTGGAATTTCCTAAATCGCTGAAATATATATTTGTTAAGTTCTTATGTAGAGCTTTAAAAATAAGTTTGAAATAAAGTTTGGAATTTCCTAAAAGTGTGAAGCACCCCTCAAATGATTTTGAACAAAGATCTTTGAAAATAAGTTGAGGCCGATCGGATGGTAAACAAAAAAGTTACATACAAACGTTTTTCGCGATTTTTCCACACTTGCGGGTGGAATCTCCCGAAACCCCGTCTTAACGTGCACCTTCATCACATAAGGTAACTATATTGAAAATTTTAGCTTCCTAGCTCTTACGGTTTGGGCTGTGCGTTGATCACCAATCAGTCAGTCAGTCAGTCAGTCAGGACAAACAGTTTTATATATAGAGATAAGCTATAAGGCTGTGGCTCAGAAATATTTTTCGATTCGCCTCGATCAACAACTAACGAACAAGTGGGCGAGAAAAAGGAGAAAATGCATGTTTATAGTAGCTGCGGAAAGTGCAAGAGAGGCTTGTTTCCAACGAACAGCTGTTTCACTAAACTAAGTGTACGACCGCTTTTTATGCTTGTATGAATATTAGGTTATTTTATTTTGATGCGACTGCTGCAGAATCCAAAAATAATTATTATCGTTTTTTATCTTATTAGAAAGACCTACTAATTGCATATTGCAGGGGTCAGAAGATATTCTTATCTAGTCGTAATTACTGTTATATAGTGATATTCGTTCACTACCTGGTAGTCTTTATTTCCCAAAGGGTCAATGTCAACGAACTACTAGTGACCCAAAGTTCATATACGGATTAGTAATCGAAAAAACGTTTGTTGTATACGCGACTTAGTTATCCCTTACCGATCTTAAGTTATTTCGACGTATCCTACCGAGTGCGCAAATTAAGTTTTACATGGTTAGAAACTTTAAAAAAATATAATATATTCTTTATTGTCACTAAATATGAATTGGTTATCTATCTGTTGCGGTCGCTTAGCAAACTACGTTTTGAGAGAGCTTGAGACCAAATAACGGAATTTACATGAATAGAATATTCAACTTGACGGCTTGGATGCGCCATATAATTTTGGGCCTCTAAGGTTTATTGTTACAAATTTCAGTTGGTGTGTATCGTATTACAATATTTACGTGGTGTGCTTAGTTGCTAGGTCTAATGTATAAGGGCTTGGATATTAGTGCTGTGGACATATGCTATATTTGAATATATGACTGTATGTGCAAGTATAGTATGTGTTGTGGGTGTGGTACATATGACACTTCCCCATCCCTAAGAAACTAGCGTGTCCTCCGTCGGATATTTTCGGATATAATGGGTGATTGCTAATTATTATATTATCGGTTTCATTTAATTTGCTATTGCCTACAATATTTTCATGTAGTTGTATATTTATTGGTTCTTCTATTTCCGATTTTTTGTTTGTTTCTTATACTTTACAATTATTCTTTGGGGTAATGCTTTGAACTTATAGATAATATACAAAATTATGTGCACTTACGATTATGCAAAGTGTTGTTACGGTTAGAATTTGAAAAGTGTTGCACATTTTAGTGTGCTCTTTTACAATTTCTTTGGCTTGAATGTATGATAGTGGTTCTAATTTGGTTACATTATTGCGCAAATAAATTGTTTGTGTATAATCCTACATTGTGCTTGTGATTATTATTTCATCTAATTGAATTGAACAGTTTGACGCTTTTATAAGGTTGTTACCTTCTATTAGCATTTCTCTATTGATACAACCTTGTTTTAAAAGTGTTTTTGGTAGATTCCTTAAACCTAGTATCTATTTCAAAGTCAGGGTGTTTTACAGTTAGACTTGCTATTTTATTTAGTTTGTTTATTTGGGTGTTATCTGCGGGGCTCCGGCATATATGAAGATATCAGGTGGTGTTCTACCAGTTGTCTTATGTTTTGTTTTATGGCTGTAAGTATAGAATATTGTTTCAAATGTTGTTAGGTGTTCTCTGGGTCGGACTCGCTGTTAATTATTCTTAGTTTTTCGTTAACTGTTTTGTAAAAACTCTCTATGTCAGATATTCCATTCTTACAAGTGGTTATTGTTATTTGAGCATTCTCGGACTGTAACCATAATTGAAGTGTTGCAAATATGAGTGCTGAGTCTTTGTCGGCTTTAATTTCGGTTGGTTTTCCCATTAGATTGAAATTTTGGAGGATTGCTCGTTTTCTTTCGAGCCAATCTTTGCTATTCATTTCTATTAATGCAGCATATTTGGAATAAATGTGTAAAGAAGATAGAAATTGTCAATTGTCAATGATATAAAAATCCATGACGTATTTTTCTCTATTGATAAGTGTTTCCGGAGTGGTTTGAAATGAGTTTAGTATCTCTATGTTCAGTTTTAGCTATGTTGCATATTTCGCATTAATTTATGATGTTTTGTTTAAGTTTTTGATGATCGCGTTAATAATATTTTTCTTTAAAAAGTGCTGTAACTTTTTCGATACCTGGATTCAATAAGTCTTTATGGGTTTTAAAGATAATTTCCTTGTAGTCTGCATAGGTTTGGTTATCAATCACTTGTTTTGTGGATTTCATTAGTTTTGTTAGGTTATTTGGTTTAATTATTTCAATATAAACGTTTTGAAAAACTATGAAATCGGCTTCACTTTTCAAACTACACTTTTCTTAGTGCATAAATATTCATTAAATATTCATTCATAGTTTGTGAACTTTGTTGGTTTTTATGAATTGTGGTGGTTTTCATTGTCTTCCTGTGCACTATGTATTATTGCTGCTAGGCTATTTGGGGTTTCGCCTAATAAATTTTTCCATATTTTGATTCGCGATAAGGCGTCTGCTATGTAAGTTTCTTTACCTGGAACATACTTCATATGGTAATCAAACTCAGCTTAATTTTCCATCTCTGTAGCTTCATATTGGGTTCTTTCATACTACTCAACCAAACCAGGGGTTTGGGATCACTAAATATCTCGAATTTCTTTCCAAAAAGATAGGACCTTAAGTATTTAGTGGCCCAGACAATAGCTAAAAGTTTCTTTTCTATTGCCGAATAGTTGACTTCCTGTTCATTTATTGTTCTGCTGGCATAACAGATTGGTTTATGATCTTGGGATAATTGTTTCTTGAAATTATGATATACTAGTACCGGATCGGACATGATAAGTAGCTTTAATTTTTCGAATGCTTTATGTACTGTTTATCTTTGGTGTTTATGACTGCACCTTTTTTCAATATTGCTGCCATTGGATCCGATATTTTTGCAAAATTTGGGATGAACTTTCGGTAAAAATAGCAAAGTTCTAAAAATTATTTGATTCCCTTCGCTGTTGAAGGTATTGGGTATTTTTGTATTGCCTCGATTTTGGCTGGGCTAGGTTTCATACATGTATCTAATTGTTGTTTTAGATTAGCCTCCCTTAGTTTTGTGAATAATTCCTCAATGACAATATATGTTCCTCCAAAGAAGTGGAGTATGCAATTTTGTCGTCCATATCCTTGTAGATCTTAGGAATTGAGTTTTCGTCCATTTGGATCTGACAAAAACCTTTCACGAGGTCAATGGTAGTGAAATACTGACATTTACCAAGTATGTCGAGTATATATCCATTGCTGGTATAGGGTATTTGTCATCAGCTGTTACTTCATTAAGGCTTCGATAGTCAATGAATATTCTAAATTTTTGTTTCCCGGATGCATTTTTCTTTTTGGGTATGATCCAAAGAGGCGAACAATAAGGTGATTTAGTTTTGCGTGATTTATATGTTTTTTTTGTAAAACGGGTCTTCGTGTTTGGTTTGGATGACATGTTTGACAGTACTTGTGAACGTTAAATTTTCAACATCTCGGTACTGAATGTCACCAAACTCATGTAAGACTTTAGTTAATTTACCTTTTTCTTCAACGTTTAGATTATCTAGACGGAATTTACTGAACTCTGAAAGCTCATTGTTGTTGGCGAACACTAATTGTTC